TATATTTTTGTGTGTATATGTGTGAGTGTGGCGATTAGAGGAAATTTTGTAGGAGCCGATTCTCTCCTTCTGTCAAGTGAGTCAACGAGAGGTCCAACTCAGGCCTTCTGAGTTTTGGAGGCCCTTTTTGTCAGTCAGTCAGCATCTTTTACGCTATGAGCTAAACATCTATTAGGTTATGACCCATAATCTAAGTACTGGGGAGGAGAAAATGAAAAATTCGACAAGATCATGTTCTGGAATAGCTTTTTCCAGCAGAAAGAACACACACACACACACACACACACCTCAGAGCCTGAATTACTGATTCCACATAAGTGGACTCTGGGAATTTGGGGAGAAAGCTGTTCCGTTTCCAAGAGGGAGTAAGTTCTTACCTACACATATTTCCTTCTCTCTATAAATAAATGTATATTTATAAATATATATTTATTTGCATTTATTAAAAAATTAATTACCTAGTCATCATTCAAATATATATATAATATATATAATATAAATATATGTGTGTGTGTGTATGTGTGTGTATTCGTGTAATCAAAGGAAGGAGGAGGCAAACAAGACTGTTATAAACAATGTGACAGGAGTAGAGTGCCAAGGTACTAGGGTGTTGAGAAGTCCTACTAACCCTTTCCTACAACGGGAGTCTCCAACCTATGAGAATTTGGATTCTTTCTTTAGTTACAAGCAACTAAGATCAACTCAACTAAAAAGTGGGGCAGGGGAGGTTACTGTGCAAGGGTGAATACGTCGATCCTGCACGGGCAGAGCGAGGACCCGGTGTTCATGGAGGCGGGCGCTAAGGACACAGGCTCAATGAACTGCCTCTGATTAGGAACTGAAACGTCAGCAGATCTGAGTTGTAAGTACGGTGAACGGAGTTCAACAAGAATGACAGGAATTGAAGATCAAAAAGTCGAGTCAGGAAAAGGGCAGGAGGAATTTTGAAAACCAAGCTGTGGAGTTTGAGTTCACCAGTAAGGCTCCAGGCTTTTGAGGAAAAGAAGGAACGTGTGAGTATTAACTTCACACTTAAGGACCCATCACCAAAATGTTTACAATAAAATTACCCTGCCTCCACCTCCCAAGTGCTGGGATCATACATATGGGCCACCATTCCCAACTCCTCTAAGCCTTTTTTGAGGTGATACCTTTGAGGATTGAGCAGATCTGTCCATTTATTTATTTTGCATTGCTAGGATATTAAACTCAGGCCTTATCTATGCTAGGTGAGCATCCAAGCACAGAATGCCATCCCAGCCTGAATTCTTCTCTTCTTAAATTACAGCTCTTAATTCTAAAAGTAACAAAATCACAATCGCTACACTTTTAAAAGACAAAATTTAGTGATAATCCCACCATCTTAACAAAACTACTGCTATCATCTATTTCCTTTTCTATTTCACATTTTCCAATTGATTTCTTAGGTTGGACTCTAAGAAATAGAATTACTAGTTTAGAGGTCATTACCAACTCTAACAATATGTAAAGCACAAGTTCTCACATGGCAGCTAGCATTTCAATCTACAAGTCTGAGCTGGGGAGACAATTCAGAGGTACAGTTCTTACTTAGCAGGTGTTAGCAGTAAGTTTAATCCTCAGTACCAAGAACTGGTACAGGGTAGATCCAAAACAAGAAATTTGTGTCTTAATCTCCCTGTTATAATCTTTGCATTTTAAATTATCAATAGAAACGAACACTATCCTGAGCTGGTTTACTAACTGAATTTCTGCTTTTGTGCATCCTGTAAGCATGGTGGGTATATTTGTCAGTGTTCTGACTAGATAAATACACTTGGGTCTCATGCTTGCCTAAAGTCAAAGAAAGAAACTAAAGAGACAAAGAGGAAAGATGATATCCCCCTGGCATTTTTCAATCTCATGAACATTTGTTAGGTGTTCTAAATACAGGTATATAACACACTAGGACATACATTTGACTTTTATTGAGTGACATACATATATTTAGAATCCTCTTCTGGAGTGCTCACCGTCATACCAGGTTCTTGATATTTCTTATCAGTTTGTGATGTGTTTATTTCACTGTACCACACTTTCATAGGCTCTACAGGCTGTAACACAATGTCTTATATATCTTGAGCACTTAATAAGCATTTACTGACATGTTTTTACCATTGTGGTGGTAAAAAAATACGTGTATTTTGTTAAACAGGATAATGGGTCATGAGTAACAGAAGTGTACTCATGTGGACAATACCTAAGTGTATGTGGTAGAGTTTAGTTTCACATCAGAGGCAAGAACCATCTTTTCTATTTGTTTGGTGCTGGGTTTTGAATACCTGGTGTTGAGCATGCTCAATACATACTCTGCCAGTGAGATACACCGTAAAAATTCAGATTTGACAAACCATGGGAACTGTGATAATTCCTTCAAATGATGAAGTTAAGCCTATCCATTTGTGAGAGTTGGTCATGGTAGAGGCAAGACGCTCAGGAGTCAAAGGTTATCTTCGGCTACATAGAGAATTTCAGACAGCGTGGGACATATGAGATCCCATCTCAAAAACCCGAAAGATGTGTTAGAGGGAAAATATTTATACTTGAATCTAGAAAAAGGAGCAGGGAAGAAACATGAAAGTTGTAGGGGGACAATCAGAGGAGAGGAAGGGGGTCAGGGGAAAGAGAAATGAAAGCAGTAATAGAGAGTGGATGGAATCAAAATATGTTGAATATGTATATGAAAATGAAGCCTATTAGTTTATACGATTAACTAATATATACCAACAATATCCACACATGTGGGTTTTTCATTACTTTGTATATATTAAATTTTCTGAAAGCTATGATTGTTTATCAAATTACCTATTCTGAACTTTTTAATTACTATGGTAAAAAAATACAATAAAACTATAGTTATTAAAATTATTATTTTGACTATAACTACTTTGTTTAACAGGTAAGCAATAAAACATCCTACATCCAACAAGAATTACCTCTTTGGCAGAGAACTGCGAATCCTAGGATACAATGAAGACTAATTACAGTAAACATAATTAAAGGAAAGTATGTTAGCCCTGTGTTGGTAAGAACTTTTAATGTACTTATATTGAATGGCAGACTGATAACTATTTGTATTGAGTTTAAAATGAGAGTTCTTTCTTAAAATAAAGTATAAACATGTATTATATTGAATGATAGATCAGAAGTTCTGTATAATAAAATAAACATTAAATTGCCTAGGTGTTTGTGTTCTGTTATTTCTATGTTGCAGTTGAAGTCCAGCTTTACCTCTGGTGAGCAGATAAGATGCAAGGGGTTAATTTGGTCTTCTTGTATCTGTTGAGGGTTTTTTTTGTGACAGATTATATAGTCAATTTTGGAGAAGGCTCTGTGAGGTTCTGAGAAGAAGGTATATTCTTTTGCATTGGGTGAAATATTCTATTGATATCTGTTAGGTCCATTTGAATAATTACCTCTGTTAATTTCATCATTTCTCTTGTTAGCTTCTGTGTTGATGACCTGTCTATTGGTGAGAGTTGGGTGTTTAAGTTTCCCACTACTAATGTGTGTAGTTTAAGCTTTAGTGATGTTTCTTTTACTAATGTAGGTGCCCTTGCATTTGTGCCATAGACGTTCAGAATTGAGAAGTTATCTTGGTGGATTTTTTTCCTTTGATGAGTATGAAGTGTTCTTCCCTGACTACTTTTGGTTGAAAGTCTATTTTATTAGATATTAGAATGGGTACTCTAGCTTGTTTCTAGGGTCTTTTTGGGTTCCTTGTATACAGCAGAATGATGGATCCTGTTTATACATCCATTCTGTTAGCCTGTGCTTTTTAATTGGGGAATTGGGCCCATTGATATTGAGAGTCATTAATGAACAATGATTGTTAATTCCTGTTATTTTGGTGGAGGTAGTGTGTGTTGGGGGTGTGGGGGAGGCTAGAGAGAGTGAGAGATTTTCTTCTTCTGATTTTAATGGTGTGAAATTATTATTTTTTTGTGTTTTATTGTGTTAGTTAAACCCTCATTAGGTTGATGTTTTCCTTCTGGGATCCTCTGTAGGGCTGTGTTAGTGTAAAGATATTATTTAAATTTGGTTTTGTTATGGAATATCTTGGTTTCTCCATCTATGGTTATTGAAGGTTTTGCTGGGTATAGTAGTCTGAACTGGTATCTGTGATCTCTTAAGGTTGCAGGATATCTCCCCAGGTCCTTCTAGCTTTTAGAATCTCTGTTGAGAAATCAGTTGTAATTCTCATAGGTCTGCCTTTATATGTTACTTGGCCTTTTCCCCTTGCAGCCTTTTTTTCTTCTGTATATTTAGTATTTTGATTATTATGTGGTGGGAGGATTTTCTTTTCTGGTCCAATCAATTTTGTGTTCTGTAGCCTTCTTGTATGTTTGTAGTCATCTCTTTTTTAGGTTAGGGAAATTTTCTTATATGATTTTTGTTGAAGATCTTTTCTGGGCCTTTGATCTGGGGATCTTCTTCTATTCCTATTATTCTTAGGTTTGGTCTTTTCATAGTGTCCCAAATTTCCTGGATGTTTTGTCATGAACATTTTAGATTTTGCATTTTCTTTGACCAATGTATCAATTTCTTCCATTGTATCCTTTATGCCTGAGATTCTCTCTTTCATGTCTTGTATTCTGTTGGTGATGCTTGTCGCTGTAGTTCCTGTTCTCTTTCCTAGGTTTCCATCTCCAGGATTGCCTCAGTTTGTGTTTTCTTTATTGCTTCTATTTCCATTTTCAGTTCTTGGACAGTTTTATTCATATCTGTCACCTGTTTGGTTGTATTTTCCTATATTTCTTTAAGGGATTTATTCATGTTCTTTTTAAATGCCTCTATTGTCTTTATAATATAGAATTTTAGATCATCTTCTTGTGCTCCAGTTTTGTTAGGATACCCAGGGCTAGCTGTTGTAGCTGGGCTCTGGTGATGCCATATTGCCCTACCTTATGTTAATTGTGTTCTTACACTGTCCTTCAGCCATCTGGTTTTCCCTGGTGTTGGCTGGTTGATCCTGATGCCAGCAGGACTCCTTAAGAAGGCAGAGAGGGTGGTTGGCTCTACAATGTAGGTTAGGGTACCACAAGCAACTTACCTCTCCTGGTTGTGGCTCCAGGGGACCCAACTGGGAAGGGACTGGTGGGGCAGTGTTCCTGTCTGGTTCTTGAGCCTCCCATGGACCTCCACAGGGAAGCAGGACACTCTTGGGGTCCTGCAAGGCTTCTTGAAATGGAAGGGCAAGCCCAGAGCTAGACAATGAAGGCATGTGTGCAACTCACCTCTGCTGGCTATGCCCTAAGCCTAAATATCTCTTGATGATCAATAATACTAAATGTCTAAAAACTAAGATTCAAAATTTAAAAGAAAATTCTGTAACAGCAAATCAACAGGTGTCAAATATTCATTCTGGATTGCTACTATTGTAATTATTATTCATACACCAGTGATCAAATAACATATATTACAAATTACTACAATTATGAACTGAATGTTCTTTGTGGCACTAGGGTGACCTGAACCAGCAGGTTATTCTTGAGTGACAGGTCTTGAGAGAGAGGACTAGATCAGATGATAAGGAAATAGATATGTTTGGGATTAGGAGGTCTTGCATATGTCTTATGCCAAGCATGTTGTGTACAGCATAGTATGTACTACTTCTAGGGGATAAATGAGATGAAGTCAGCAGGGAGCTTATCAGTCAGTGTTGCACATGGAGCCCACAGAGTATCTCAAGAACATTCTAGACCAAGCACTCAGCAGCATTGTGACTGATACCTGTTGCTTCTAAGGGTGAGAAGAATTTGGTTCTTAGGATCTGGAGCTGAAGCTTCCCAAGTTTCTGGCCCAGGCCAATACCAGTTCTGCCAAGCATGTTCTGGTTTCAGAGAAGGATGTTCCTTCTCTATATACCAGGGCTACAGGGAAAGCCTCGAGTTGGTCCAGCCCTCAACATTAGGGAATGAACCTAGCTTCTGTTATGCGTCACATCCTGTCCCAACTGAAAAAAAAAAACTTGCTTGAGAACAAACTAAGAAAACACTTCTAATCATTGTCTCTGCTGGAAAATCAGTTCCATGGAGATCAGATCCTTGTTATCTTGCTCCTAGTTAACACAAGCAAGGCATTGCGATAGAACTGTTTATTAAATGAATTAATAGATGTTTGTTTGAGGATCGTGTGTTCTGGCTAACATGTATTCATCAGCCAGCTTGAAAGGACCCTTTCCATCAAAACAAGGTCCTCAAAGAAGGCCACAGTAAATAATTTTCCATGAGTGGGAAACCCCATTCTTAGGTTTTGGTTTACCCTAATTAGCTGGTCTTGGGTAGAAAAATATCAGATTCAACATAAAGAAAATTAGCTCAAAAGTAGTATGCAACTGGATGGTCTGGGATCTTTTCTGGTAGGATTCTGCTGATGGCTAAAAAGGTATGTGGGTTCTTTTCGGCTGGTGCAGAGCTGGAGGGAATACATACATTTGGCTGGCTTCCTGAAGGCATGCCAGCACTCTGCATTATGTTGGACAATCACACTCAGCCCCATCCGAAACACCAGAGAAAGTCCCCTTTAGAAGTCCTGCAGCTCCCTGACACCCAGAACCTCAGCTCACTCAGGCAATCATCTCTGTACACCTAAGAGTATTCTCAAATGAGTCCTAGCCATTTACTCAGATTTCTGAGCTCAGATTTCTTACAGTGCTCCTGTGTCTTCCCAAACAACCGCCAGAATTCTAACAGCAGGACATACAGAAGGACTCGGCAGATAGTATTCCAAATATATCACCTCGACATGGCGTGTATTTTAAGCTGAAGGAAGTGAGGAGATTGCTTTCATCATGTCCTACCTTTCTCCCACAAAGCAGTCTATACAAAAATTCTTGGACCTACTTTTCCTGAAAATAGGCTATCCCAGAAGGCCATACCCTTTAAAGAGCCAACACAAATCTGAAAAAAAAAATGGGTGTTGCCAAATCGCACCCCCTTCCCTGACTATCATGAGAACAGACTCTTGTTTTTTGTTTTTGTTTGTTTGTTTTTGGTTTTTTCGAGACAGGGTTTCTCTGGGTTTCTCTGTATAGCCCTGGCTGTCCTGGAACTCACTTTGTAGACCAGGCTGGCCTTGAACTCAGAAATACGCCTGCCTCTGCCTCCCAAGTACTGGGATTAAAGGCGTGCGCCACCACCGCCCAGTAAGAGCAGACTCTTATTCTCAACTATTCTCTATATAACTGTCCCCTCCAGCCCTTTAAAACGTTAAGAATAAAGTGAGGCTTTGTTCTGGAAACTTCAGTTCACACGTGGGACTTTGGGTCTTCATTTCTGAAGTCTTCTGTGTTATGTAAACATATCGATAAACTTATTCTATTAACCTGTTCTTTTACTCACCATTAGCCATGATCTTGTGATAGGCAAGGAAAAAAGATATTACTTTCTTTCTCCTTCATGAAGGAGGATCTAACTTCCCAAAGGAAAATCTGATAACTTGGAAGAACTGCCATTACACTAGTCAGAGTTAGGGTGGAAAAGCAGTGAAGTGAAGAGTCTAGGTTGATCTTGGAAAAGCCAGACTAATATCAAACAAAATAGACCTTCAACTTACTGCTACCCTGTAACTCAATGCACTTTAGCTTAGTATGGCTTCAGTGAGCACACACACAATTATACAGCAAGAATGCTTGTGAAATATTTCCTGTAATACCTCTAACTAAACCGAAATGACCAACTATTTTTACAAATTTCTTTTGACATTTGGATTGTTTTATGAAACATAATCACATGAAAATAGTCAACATTATCTTAGCTGACTAAATAATCAGGAATAAGTACAGATAAAAGATGATTATCTAATCTCTTATAGAACCTGTTCCACCATAAAATTTTTATTTACATTAAAAATTATTTTATATATATGGGTGTTTTGCTTGCATGTATTGTCTGCATATTGTGTGTGTGTAGTGCCTGCAGAGGCCAGAAAGTGGCAGACAGATCTCTTGGAACTGGAGTTACACAGAGGGTTGTGAGCTGCCATGTCGGTGCTGGGAATGGAACCAGTGTTCTCAACTGCTGAGCCCTCTCTCCAGACCAATAACATAAATATTTTGAGGCTGAATTTTAACATGAAGACAAGAGCATCTTACTGTGTTAGCTTCTTTTCGCTTTGACACAGTACCTGTGGCCATCAACTTACCTGTGTTTACTTTTGGCTGAAGGTTTCAGAACATGGTTGTTTGTTTTAGTTGCATTCTTGTCTGTGAGGAACAACACCTCATTCTATCACACACAGCACATTACCATGATTTCCCCTTTGTGAAGTTAGACCCTGCTTACCTCAGCTGGAAGCAAAGAGAAATAGGAAACAGCCAGGATCCCCAATGACACCTTCAAGAATGATACCTCTGGTCACTAGATGCCTCTTACTAAAGGTTGTACCACTTTCCAATAATACCACAGGCTTGCCAGCAAGCCTTTTAACACATGAGTCTTTTAGGAGATACTTACCCAACTCATACCATATGCAAAAATGACAAATGTAAGATACAGAGAAAAAACCCTATCAAATATAGACTTGGGCTGGGTTTATTGCTCAGTGATGGTGTGAACATGTGAGAAGTTTGGGGTTTAATCTCAGGGAAAGAAAAAAAGTTGATAGTGTTTAGAATGTTTCAGTAGAGCCAAAATCCTATTCTTTATATCCCTAGACATAACCAAAATTAAAAAGCTTGTTGGGCACCTACAATGTATTAAATACAATGGTAGCTTCAGATCTCTTGTTGCATGTACAAGACATGTATTAATTAGCACATTTTAAATTCATCAAATGGTTCTATCATCAATGGTTAAATTGAAAAATGTGGCATTAAATTTTGAAATTTTGAGCTGAGTGGCAGAGATGGCTTAGCTGGTAAAGGGCTTGCCACCAAGCCGGATGTCCTGAGTCATCTCCCTCCCTACCCCCACCTGCAATGTGTAGGCAGAAATCTACAAGGGACACACATTTTAAAGAATGCTTTAAAGACCATCATCAATGTTAACATTGTACATCTTCCACTCGTTCCAGCTGATAGTCTTCAACAAGGCTGGGAAAATAGTCATGAAAATGCAAATCTGCCATTACTCTGTCCTTCTATCGAAGGAACAGAACTCAAATTGTTGGGGATAAGCAAAAATATTCAAAGTTTTCAGACTCCATTTAATCATAAGGAGAGACTAAATTCAAGGTCCCAGGCCCTAGGGGAGCTGGGGACTTCCCAATGGCTGAACAGCTGTTGTAAGGAAAGTTGTCTTGGGTCCTGACGTCTCAGGCACAACTTCACTATCTTGCTAGGCCCAGGGACCAACTCCTATCCTAATTGATGGAAACTCCCTTGTTCGAGCCCTTATGTCAAAACATGATTGGACAATGCTACAGCCCACCCAGCTTCTCCTCTCTTTATGGTCTTATTCTTTAAATATGCTGTACAATGCCTCTTCATGGTCGTAGTTCACCTCTGAGTCTGTCCTGCCGCCCTGATTACAATTTTTGTCATCTGAATTAACCTGGTGTTTGAATTATGTTATACTTATGTCGGATTTAAGAAGACCCCACAACAAAATAAGTGTTAGGGATTTTAAATTTTTGCCGGGCAGTGGTGGCACATGCCTTTAATCCTAGCACTTGGGAGGCAGAGGCAGGCGGATTTCTGAGTTCGAGGCCAGCCTGGTCTACAGAGTGAGTTCCAGGACTGCCAGGGCTACACAGAGAAACCCTGTCTCGGAAAAAAAATTTTTTTTTTCGAGAACAAGAAATCAACCCCTTTCCTGGCTTGGAAAATGAGATTCCTTAGGGTCATGTATCAAAAGGCAGGAAGAGTGACTCAAAAGGCAGGCTCTGGTATGTTCTAGCATAAGCCAAAGGTTCTTTTTGAGATAGGGTCTCAAGTACCCAGGTTGGCCTTGAAGCGAAGAACTGCCTTAAACTCCAGATCCTTTAGCCTCAATCTCCCAAGAGCTGGAATTACTGGCGTGCGTCCCCATACCCTGATCCTAGAGAGTCTTAATGCCAAAATAGGGTAAATGGAGATTTGAGAAAGCCGGCAGCTGTTTACCTTGCAAGCGCTAACGGACCACTTCAGCCACGTGGGAGCAGGGTCTGCCAATCCCGGCGGCCAGAAGCTTCCCGGCAGGAAGGGGCGGGCTCGTGTTGGAGAAAAAGAGAGCTCGGAAGGTCCGGGTTTTGGCGCGGGACTCCACTGCCGCCACACGGCTCCGCTATGCTGGTCGTGGGCTCCGAGCTGCAGTCCGGCTGCGCTCAGCCGCTGGGCGCCGAAGCCCCGCAGCATGGCGAACTCCAGTACCTGAGGCAGGTGGAGCACATCATGCGCTGCGGCTTCAAGAAGGAGGACCGCACGGGCACTGGCACCCTGTCGGTGTTCGGCATGCAGGCACGCTACAGCCTGAGAGGTAGCCGGGGCTGGACGGGACTAGCGGGATGGACTGATGTCCGGCTGGCTGGGCGAGCGGGGACGCGGGGCGGGCGGCCATGGCTAGTCCTAACCCGGGCTCTGAGGTTCTAGGAGTCCTAAACTCCGCGTGCCCGCCCCAGGGCCGCTAGGTGACAGCTACTTCCAGTAAACCGGGTCCTAAAGGTCCTCCTTTGACCTTAATCCCTGTTAAACCATTCCTCCCGAATCCAGTTTCAACCAGTTGCGCGGCCCGGAGGGAGGGAGCGGAAAGAAACCTATCCGGGCTTGTCCAAACCTTGCCCAGAGGTCCTGGCTTTGCTCCTCCTCTTCCTCCCTTTATCTCCTGTTCCCCTTTGCTACCGGTTTAAAAATTGGAGCGAAAACGGCTTGGGCGGTGCTACGGCTGCGCGGTAAAAGCGGGGAGAACCCAGCCCCGAGGCGGGAACTGTGGGGTTACCTCCAACGGCCTTGACTTTAAGGATGTTTAGGAGGAAAGGAAGGAATCAAGCACAGGGCGGGGAAAGGGCACAGGACCTCCTAGGTGTTGGCTGGGGATGGGGGCTAATGGTGGTATTTAGGATGAATGAAGAGCAACCTGACGCTGGCGTGGAGAGTAGCTTTGAGTGGAGATATGCCCACTCTTAGGGAATTCACTTAATTTCAAACATCTTCTGACTACACCCCTAACCTGAGCATTTTCACTTCGCCCGTGGGTTGCTTGACCTGCCCCACCTCTTTCCCTCTTAAGCTGCATACACTTGTGCATTTCCTTTGGGTACCTGTGAAGTGGAGGTCACAAAGTTCCCTGGTGGCCATCCCGAGGAGTAAACAATTCTGTCTCCATACACTAGGTCAGTTTGCTTTCCAAATATCTGTAAACTGTTCAGTTTTTACATGAGTGATATCACCCCTCTGCGCATGGCATAGTGGACTTGGGTATGGGGAGGGCTTTAGGCTGGGTCTGAGGCCACATTTTGTGTGCTGTCATTACAGCCCAGTGACAGCATTCACAGTGGCTGATTGGCAGGTGGGGACTTTTCTCTTTGCCGTGTGGGTATCCCCTGGAGAACTGTGGTGTCTCCCACTTGTCCCATAGCTGGGCATCTCTCTCTTCCTGCGGCTTCTCTGGGGTTTTGGATCCCAGGCGCTTTCCCTCCACAGAGTAAGCAGGATGGTGGCTTGCTTTTTTTTTTTTTTTTTACCATGTTCTGACCGTATGATATACTGTTTTTCAGATGAATTTCCTCTGCTCACGACCAAGCGAGTGTTCTGGAAGGGTGTTTTGGAGGAGTTGCTGTGGTTTATCAAGGTAAGGGTAGTACCGCATTGGAAGCTGTCAGTCTTCACGGCACCAGGCTTAGGAGTCAAGCTTGCATCTCTTAGCCATTCTCCTTCTCTGGTTCATCTTCCAGCTCTGTGTTCTCTCCCTCACCTATCCTGCTCCCCTCACTCACTAACCTGAAAACACTGGGATATTCCTGCCCAGGCCTCTGGCACTTGCCGTTCCCAGTACCTACTACCTCTTCCTTCCATGTGGAGTCTGATTCTCTCCCTTCCTTCCAGCCTCACGCAGACAGCCTTGACCCAGTCAAGATAGATTCCTCTTCCTTCTCACTTTTTTGTCTCTCTTTGTAGGGAAACATCATCAGCTGGCCTCTAAATCAGCTTTTCCTGATTTTTCTGGATGGGAGATAAATAAATACAGTGTCCTGTGAGTTTCCCAAAGTTAGAGAATCTATTTCTCCTATTTGCCATTGTATTCCTAGGTCCAGAATATAGCCACATGGTATGTACTCAGCATGTATTGATTACTGGATCAATAGATACCAAAGAGTCAAGTATATTATATTGATGATATTGGAGGGATGTGATGACAACCCCAAGTTCCTCCTCTATCCTTGTCCAGAACAAGTGAGATTCTGTCTAGTGCTGGTTGAGAGTACTCAGGAGACAAGCTGAGTTCTGGGCCATAGTACACGTCTTTCTTTAGAATCCTTGGGGTGATGGCTCAGTAGGTAGAGAGGGTTTGTTGAACAAGCATGAAACCTGAGTTCAGTCCCTTGCAGTCACATAAAAATTCTGTGTGTGGGACTGGAGAGATGGCTCAGCAGTTAAGAGCATTTGAGCTCTTACGGGGCATCTGTAGCTGTAGTTCCCATATCATCTGCCCTCCTCGGGCCCTGCGTGTACATGGTGTTCAGACACACATGCAGGCAAAGCAGTCTTATACATAAAATTAAAAAGAAATGCTGGGTGTGATTGCATGTATCTGTAACCTCAGTGCTACAATGGGAGGGTGGACATGAGAGGACCTTTGGTGCTTTGCTGGCTACTAGTCCGGCCTAAACAAGCTCCAGGGTTAGTCAGAGACCCTGTTTCAAGGGAAAGGTAGGAAGTGAGAGAGCAGTGTCCTCTGGTATCTACGGGCTCAGGTACACACATGTGCATATACACCACACTTACACACAAAATAAGTAAAGTCTAGAGCACTCTATGATTTACATGATCTTGGGGCTACCAGACCCTAGATTGCTACCCATTTTAGAACGGGTTGACAGTGTATTCAGTCTTAGTTCTATGTAGGAACTGATGCAAGGTAAATCTTCAGAAATTCTAGAACATCCATAAAATAGCTTGAACCCCACCCAAATAGATGGGAAAGGGGGGCTTTTACAGCACCCTGTAAAAGATTGATAAGTTAGCCAGGCAGTGGTGGTGCACACCTTTAGCCCCAGCACTTGGGCCAGCCTGGTCTACAGAGTGAGTTCCAGGACAGCCAGGGCTACACAGAGAAACCCTGTCTTGAAAAACAAAAACCAAAAAGGTTGAGAAGTATGAAAAAGTTAGAAGAAGAAACTTAATAGAAAGAGGGGCTGGAAATCTGGCTCAACGGTTTCAGAGGACCCAGGTTCGGTTCCCAGTCCCCACAGGAAGACAACCAACCATCTATAACTAGTTCCAGGGGATCAGTGCTCTCTTACTGTCTCTGTAGGTACTATATGCACTTGTATAGATATCCATGCAGGCAAGAAAAGCAAATAACGAAACAAAAGAAAGAAAAGTCGGTTATCTGTATTGCACTTTGTCACCTGTGTGAAGACGGAATGTAAGCCATGTCGTAGTGAGTGTCTACTAAGCATGTGACGCGTGCTTAATTCTGCTAACGTGTTCTTCAATAAGGTGAGGCTAAAGCAGTCACAGGAGGACTTATAGAAGGATCAGGCACAGGCCTAAGTGTATGTGTCACCATAGCCTTGTTGATAGATGTTATAGGTACATGATTCCTAGGGGCGGGGCGAGATCTCTCCATACTTGGCTGCAAGATCAGAGGATGGGTTAGGATATCATGGGGCCAAAGATAAGATAAATATAATATTTTGTAAATGTCCATGGGGTAGACACAGTTTTATGAGGTCACACGGATGAGTGGCATAGAATTGAAACTTAGTTCAGTGTGACTGAAGCATTTTCCAGAAAAGCTAACTACTGATTTGTCACTACAGATTCTTTAGCCATATGGGACATAAACAGACTGTACATGAAATATTATTAAACAAGTCCAGTTGGGGTATTATGTGTAGACCCAGAACATGTTTGATTTAGCAATTCCAAACTGTTGGTTGAGGTAGGAATATATTAGGAACTTGGAGGTTTTAGAAAAATTAAAACCAGGCAGTGATGGTGTACACCTTTGATTCCCAGCACTCAGGAAGCAGAGGCAGGCAGATCTCTTGAGTTTGAGGCTAGCCTGGTCTGCAGAGTGAGTTCTAGGATATCCAGGGGTACACCTGGAATCTTCTCACCTGAATCCATATCTAGGATATCTCAGGGGGAAAAAAAGAAAAGAAAAATTAAAAGGGAAGGCTGGGGATATGATTCAGTGGATAAAAGCACTTGCTATATAAATCTGACAGAGTTTGGATCCCTGGAATTCTCATAAAAAGACCTATTTGGTAGTTCCATCTAATCCCAGAACTTCTCTGGGAGAGATGGGTGATGGAGATAAGGAAATCTACTGGAAATTCATAGGCTAGCTGGCCTGGGTGGGTGGTACAGCAGCAACAGGAACAAGAGAGATACCCTACCTCAAGGTGAAGGCAAGAACTACATGCTTACAACTACATGTATACATTTAGACACAAAGATTTTTTAAAGTTGAAGGGAATAGAAGAAATACCTTTAGGGAATTTCTTAATAAGGGAGTCTGGCCAGGACCAGCCTGCTTAAAGATAGGCTGTCCATGGACAATGTGCCTTGAAGTTGAGCGGCTCAGAACCCCCTTTTATGCCTGTTCTACTCTCATTTTTTCTAGGGATCCACAAATGCTAAAGAATTGTCTTCCAAGGGAGTGAGGATTTGGGATGCCAATGGATCCCGAGACTTTTTGGACAGCTTGGGATTCTCTGCCCGACAGGAAGGGGACCTGGGCCCAGTTTATGGTTTCCAGTGGAGGCATTTTGGAGCTGAATACAAAGATATGGATTCAGGTGAGGAGAGAACAGTGCCTCAGGTTTCCTGAGTGTTCTTCCTCAAAAATCCATTGTAGAGTATGGGGGATAAGTTCATATCATGGGAGCTGACAAGTAACTGACCTTGTGAGAAGCTATGCTGGGTTATGGTGGAGAAGCTACAACTAAATCGCATACAATTTGAGTATATTCTTGGTGGCTAACATTTATTTGTTGGGCATGATTGAATGCTTAAAATTTTCTGAACCTTGTCATTGGCAAATAGTGGTAGGTTTGGTTTGTAAGGGTTTAGGATAGTTCATCTGGGACTGGGTGCAGGAATTGCCTTTGATGATCATTTCTCTGCAGGGCCGAAGCACGAGCAAATTTGTAGGCAGTATAGTGTCTCTGTGCAGCGCCTGACTTATCCTTTTCTTCCTACTCTGTGGGAACAGAGGGTGAAGAAAAAAAAAAAAAACTCATTTTATGACAGCATCTTCCTCTCTCTTGGTACTGCCTGAGTGTCACAGAGACCTGCCTTCAGAAGCCTTTGTCATTTCTCCCTAGGACAGGTTCCAAAGTTAATGTCTCACTAGAGAGTGTGTGTTTGTGTGTGTGTTTGCACATGCATGTGCACGGGTTTTCACCCTAAACCCATAGTTTAGAAAGCTGTGGTAAAATCTCAGTGCTGGTGGTCCTGGTGTCTGCGTCTTGATGACAGTCTTCAGAACTCCGAGGTGACACAGTATTCGGTGATAAGATGAGAAGTGTGTGTTTCTTCTTATGAAGTCACTCAAGGGAGCTTCACTCTGATGACTTTCTAACCCTAATCACCTTTTAAAGGCTGCATAGTTTGATTAAATTTCTACCTAAAAGTGAAAATTACATTTCAACTCATGAACTCTTGGGTGACACATTTAAACCTTATTCCAATAGTACCTATAAACAGGAACAGTGGAGGAAGTGACAGACAGACTAAATATTTGAAAGACTTCTGCAGAAAAGAACTTAAGCTCCTTAAGACAGACATGGGATCGGAAAGGACCCTGAACGTAACCCAGCAAGATCTGAGAAATACCCAGGATGTGCTGTGTATCTTAGGACCATGGGTCAGGGAGAGGCACTGAGTGAATGCTGTCAGTGTCATCATAGGAGAGGCTGTGTCTGATGTGACTTAAGTGTGCATGTATTCTCCTGACAATTCCACAGATTACTCAGGGCAAGGAGTAGATCAGCTGCAAAAGGTGATTGACACCATCAGAACCAACCCTGATGACAGAAGAATCATCATGTGTGCCTGGAACCCGAAAGGTAGGCAGCACCCCAGTCATTTTCCTTTGGATGAACTGGCGAGTTGGTGGAAGGGAAGCGAGGTGGCCTGAGGTGCTCTGTGCGGCCGGAACTACCTCTGATCCTGTGGTTGTGTGCCCTTGAGCAACTCACACTTTGCTTTAATTTTCATCTTCTTCATGTTTTGGGGTTAGGCTCATGTGACCCCCCCCTTATGCTTTTATATTACAGGAGCATTAGATTGCCTGTTAAAAACACCTGTGACTTTAACTTTTTTAATTTGGAGCAGATGAAGTGTCAAGTGTTAACGCTTAACTAGATTATTAAACTAAACTCTACAAAGGTATAGTGAGTACCCAGTAAAGGACATTTGGATTTATAATAACTTATTAACAAAAAGATAGACCGCAGATGCTGGTTTCCTACGGCCTTTGCAAATGAGATCATTTTCCTTTTATTTGGTGCCATCAACAGCGGCTCAGATCCTTCATTTTAGCTCAGATGGAAGAGCATTGCTTCAGCGTAAATGTATGCTTGCAGATAGCTAATGGGCAAGCCCCCAGGACCTCTGCTGCAGGGTTGGGAAAATGGTCTGACTTTGACAGAATGAGAAGGTAGGAGTTGTGAGTGTCTGTAACCTGCTGGCCTTTTTCATGGTTGACTTGTTTGCTCTTTTACCTTTTTCATAGCTGTGTTCTCTAAAACCCTTCCTTGTTTCTCCATTGACTCCTCAGATCTTCCCCTGATGGCACTGCCTCCTTGCCATGCCCTCTGTCAATTCTATGTGGTGAATGGAGAACTGTCTTGCCAACTTTACCAGAGGTCAGGAGATATGGGACTGGGTGTGCCCTTCAACATTGCCAGCTATGCTCTGCTCACCTACATGATTGCACATATCACGGGCCTGAAGGTGAGCTTCTTTCAGAAGGCATACTTATATAGCCAATATAATACACTCAACTCACAGTCTGATTAGTATTAGAATTTTATATAACCCTCCTTGGAGCTTTCTGGCCCCTTGTTGCCTCTGTGTGTGTGTGTGGCGGGGGAGCGGTCGTTTTTGAGACATGGTCTTATTCTATAATCCTCATTAGCCCTAACCTACTGTCTCAGTGCTGGCACACAGTCCAAGAATGAAGTCCTAAGAATTCTGAGTGCTTATAATAAGAGTCTTGTGACCTTAGTTTCTTCAAAACACAGAATTATTCTTGGATGTGTTTTCGTGCTCCCCTCAGGTGCAGCAGACAGGAGAGTTTACTTTGGCTGTTCTTTATATACCTCTGTGGAAAAACATGGTTTTGCCATATGCAGCTTGTCTTTGATTATACACTTTACTCAGGTGACTCTTCTTAACCCTCAGAATATAAACTGTCTAATGCTCTGAATAGAGCTGGCTATTGCAGGAGACTTTAGTCCACCTCAGTTTTAGGCCCTTCCTGCTCTTCTAGGTTCACAATGTCAGCTAGAGCGGTAAACATCTCAGCCTTCCAAGTGCTGAGATTACATGTGTGAGCCATCACGTACAATGTTAAAAACTTCTGTAAATTAACTTTTCTCAAAAAACACACTGATAAGATTACTGTTTTGGCAAGCTTTGAAGTCTTTGTGTATTATGTTTTATTGTGTATGTGGGGGCCCAGATATTCCAGTGTATGTGTGTAGAGGTCAGAGGACAGTTTACATGAGTCCTCTTCCTCCATGTGGGTCCCAGGTTGTCAGGCTTGGTGACATGCCTTTACTCACTGAGCCATCTCACCTTCCTTAATCTGTTTTAAAATGATGTGTTTTTATAAGGGCTTAGCTATTACGAGCACCGACTGCTCTTCTAGGGGTCCTGAGTTCAATTCCCAGCAACCACATGGTGGCTCACAACCATCTGTAATGGGATCCGATGCCCTCTTCTGGTGTGTCTGAGGACAGCTACAGTGTACTCACATACATAAAGTAAATAACTTTTTTTTTTTTTTTAAAGAATTTAAACTAAAATATTAACTTGTGTTTTCTGTGAAACATTTTTAGCCAGGTGACTTTGTCCATACTTTGGGAGATGCGCATATTTACCTGAATCATATAGAGCCGCTGAAAATTCAGGTAAGAAGTACACCTGTTAGATCTCTTTTTTGAGCTTGTGCCTTCTCTTGACAACAGACAGTAGGGCATCCTTTGCATCACAGTCGCTCTGGCTGATGCTGTCTTCAGGGAAGTGCTCCAACTGTAGGGCTTTTAATAATGGGAGTGAGCAGGGGTGAGGCCATAATCAGCCTTAGCAACCGTAAGCACTGAAAATGGCAAGGTATTACGTACCAGTACCAGAGAGAAGAGCCCAGAGATACGGCATTTTAACTCATAATTTTACGTGAAGTATAAATGTTTGACTTCAGTTTTATGCTTTAGTCCACTAAGTAGTTAGGTCTGACCCTTAAAAAGTCTGTCTATTCAAATTCCTATAACAGAGTAGCCAACAAATGAATTGAGATGGCAGTTAAGAGGGAGTGTCTTGTGTTTTATGAACCTTGAGGAAAAAAAACAGACTGGCAAGGGTAAACAGCTGTGTCCCAAAGTTAGTATATTTATCAGGAGTTATCTGGTGGCTTCATCATATAATCACAGCTAGGTAAGAGACACATTCCAAGTTCAAGGCTTGTGTGGGCTACAGAATGGGTTCAAAATAAGCTTAGATAACTGACCAAGACCCTGTTTCAGAATAAGAAGCTGAGCTACAGCTGAATTGTAGATTACCTGTGTAGATCTCATGAGGCTCGAGGTGTATTCCCTAATGTTTCGGAAAGAAAAGACAGTACAATATTACATGCCTATAAAATTGTACCTTGTGATAAAATACTGTGTCGGTTTCATGGGGGACGCCGGACTGCATGTAAAATAATGCCACGATTTTGTTTTTAGCTACAGCGAGAACCAAGACCTTTTCCAAAGCTCAGAATCCTTCGAAAAGTTGAGACGATTGACGACTTCAGAGTTGAAGACTTTCAGATCGAAGGGTATAATCCACATCCAGCCATTAAAATGGAAATGGCTGTTTAGAGTGCTTTCAGGGATGCTGTGACTGTCACCAGTCTTCAAGCTTTGAGCCTGATGACCAGGGTAGTTTTCTAAAGGAAAATGAACTAGGTCAAAAACTGACAAGCACTCTATCTGTAACAGTCATCGTCTAAAGTGTCGCTGACATTGAGAAACTATCCTTCCTTTAGTATTTACTGAAGGTGCATATGAAGCATTTATATATATATATCGATATTATTTCTCGAAATATGTTACACTGTTCATTTATAAACATTTTATATGCTCTAGTAATAATTGTTTTTGCATTTGTCTGTTTTCTTAAGGATTTTTAGTTTTTGTGTGAGCATATAGGTCAGAGAGAGCTCCGTTTGAGGGTAGGCTTAGTAACGGGCTCAGTTTCTGCCTAGGACAGACTGATTGGAAAACCCTGAGCCTTCAGTAGCTTATTGTGACAGTCTTCTGTATCTCAGGCTGGCCTCAAACACTCGGTAGCTGAGGGTGAATTTGTTCCTCATGCTCCTGACTCTCCCTGTTATCTGCTGGAATAGGAATGTACTATCTCTTCCTACTGGCTACAAAGCAAGATACAATCTAGCCATATCAGCCCAGGCTTATAAAAAAAAAAAAAAAA